ACAATTCCAGGCTTCTGGTAGTAGAAACAGCTTTAGCAATCTTCTGTGGCACACCATTATCTTCTATAATAATGTCACCTTCATCGCTATCTTCATCCTTTGGCTCGGAATTTGGTCCAATCTGCTGTGCTTAGCAAAGAAGGCTATTATAAGCAGATTGGCTGGAGCTGCCAGAAGTCTTTCTGTTCCCAGCAAGATTATTCTCCTTGTTTGCCGGTCTCACCGTTATGATGAGGTTGCTGCTGTTTGCAGTCATCATGTCCATTACTTGATGCAGATGCTTCCCTGAAACATATGTACCATCAACTTGTAAAACTTCATCATTAACAGTGAATAGTCCTGTGCCGTGAGCCAGACCTCCTGAACAAGCCAGGATATAAAGATCCATGGGATGTTCTCTAAGCCTTGTGGTGTCTCCCTTAGGCTGAAACCATCCCAGATACAGAGTTATAGGGACTGTTTAGTGTGGTGTTTGTAAAGATGAACCCTGAGATGAATTTCTGGCAGAAAATCCACATCTGTAATAGATGACACAGGTCTGAAGTCTTGGGGCGGGCATACCAGTGAATGGATGTGGGCTTTTTTGTGGTTGTCAGACACAATACATCAGTTAAAACATTTTTCTTCTCTATTAGTGTGTCTGTACCAAAGGCACTGTTGCCTCCTGCCTTCTTTTGTATAAAAATCCTAAGCAGTGGGTTGGCTGTTGAAATAGCTTTATCATAATCATCATCATCATTATTTATAGATTATATGTCTCCCTGAATGTCTGCATAGCCTACTAAAATGTCAACATTAGGTATCTTATGAACAAATTGCAGTAATCCATAAAACTCAAAATTTCCAGGTTTTGTCCTTTCTAGAGAAAACCGACGAAATTTAGTGCCAAACCTCTTCACCCCCAGGAGGCTCCAGCAGCTACTGCCCGCCTAGTGCCACTGGCCACCACGGGCTACAGCTCTGGCTACGGATCCTGCGGAGCGCCGTGCCTGCGTGCATTTGGCCCAAACACCCACAACCTGAGACACGTGTGCGGAGGCAGCGGGTGGGAAGGCAGCTCCCTCCCTCTGAGCCCTGGCTGTGGGGGGTGGGGTAGGGGCAAAACATCACCCACCTCCTGGCCCTCTGCCGTCCCCCCCACCCCCACCCGCACCCCACAACCGGATGCCTGACCCAGCCCAGCGAAGTCAACTTGAGAGATTTTAAGTGACAATATTATTAAAGACATTTTGGAGGAAAAGATCACTTGTAATCCTGCCACCTTAGCATATTTTTCCGATTTATTGAATATTACTTTTCCGGGCTTGCCCATGAGTATATGTTTTCATGCTGTGGCTGTCTAGTGTATGTTCTATTTTATATCTTTTTCTCCATTAAAATAACCTTTATTCTCCATGCTTGAAAACCTTAATAACAAAAAGCTGGGAGAAATAGAAACTTTTGTGTTGTATGCAGATATCAGGTAGGCAGGTTTTTATGTGTGTTTGTCTCTGCCCCTCTCCCCATTCCCATATTCTCGCTAGATTAGCAATCCACCACCTCTCCTTGGCACTTGCTGGTGGCTCTCTTTATATAGTTGACTGGGCTAAACGTGTGTGTGCCTGTATGTTTTAAACCCTCACAACATATCATGATCTTAAAATCTTCCAAACCCCTCATATAAACAAACATGTGCCATTGTTAGCTTCCTAGTGCTATTTTCCCCAACAAGATTCCTGACCGCTTGGCCCCTTTTGCCAAAGCTTTCTTTACACCCTTCTCTTTCTGTGCCTTCCTGCCTTTCTGCTTACCCAGTACAAAGCCTGAATTTGCTTTCACAGAGAAGCCTTAAATTATCTCAGCATACTTTATTGCACTTAGACCGTTTCATATCCAAAGCCTTTTTATCACCCTTCCCCTATTTCTATTTCATACCCTATTTTCTTCTATATTCACAATTCCTGTGCTCCATATATACTTATTTTCTACAAGAGCGTTTCCCCACGTTCATTTCACTTAGATCCTAATTTTTTAATCCTCTGCCATCCCTTTCTTTTGGTGCCTTCCTTCAACCCCAGGATGTCTGTCTTTTGCCAGTGATCTTTCTCCCTTTCACTCTTAACCTATCTGGTAATTCTGTTTTCCCACGCTTCTCCAAAAGCTGACACTCTGATAATGTATATGTAGTGTTCAGTTGAGTGCTTCTGAATAGATATCTGCTGTTCAAAACAGTGAAATCTAAACTATTAGCATGGAAATAACCTCTGGGAAGATGAGGTCTCCACTTGAAAGCTTTAAATAGAGATTCTTCTGCTCATGTTGAATGATGGGGTTTTATCTAATATGATCTGAAATGGGGTAACTACTTGAACCGCACAAAATAATCACCACTGTGAAATGAGAATGTATCTTTGATTTTTACGCTTCTATTTTGATTGACCTGAGAAATAAAACTTGCCACCTCAGAGAAGATCATTTTCATGTGTTTTGGATTATATTGATCATTAATTTTTCAGGATAATTATAGACTTGTAAATGTTTAATACAGTCTCCTAGTCCATGCTGAAATCCCCTCCAGTGATGGGAGGAACAGGAACTCACAATCTACAAGGCAACCCAATCCATTTTGTATTGCTGTTGATTGATTGTTATAAAGTTCATCCTTGTGTTGAGTTGAAAATATACTGGTTATATTATATTGGTTATATTTATATTAATTCTGCCCTCAAACTACATGGAATTTGGATCCCTTTTCTACATGATAGCCTTTTAAGATATCTTTTTTTTTTTTTTGAGACAGAGTCTCACTGTGTTGCCCAGGCTAGAGTGCCGTGGCGTCATCCTAGCTCACAGCAACCTCAAACTCCTGGGCTCAAGCGATCCTCCTGCCTCAGCCTCCCGAGTAGCTGGGACTACAGGCATGCGCCACCATGCCTGGCTAGTTTTTTCTATATATTTTTAGTTGTCCAATTAATTTCTTTCTAATTTTAGTAGAGACGGGGTCTCGCTCTTGCTCAGGCTGTTCTCGAACTCCTGAGCTCAAACAATCCGTCCGCCTCGGCCTCCCAGAGAGCTAGGATTACAGGCTTGAACCACCGCGCCCGGACTAAGATATCTTAAGGTAGTTATTCTAGTCCAGCCTCTCTACCCTTTCTCTCACAAATTTTTCCCACTTTGGGATAAACATCCTCAGCTCTTTCAATTATTCCTCACATGATACATTGTCATCATCCTGATTGCTCTCTAAGGACCTTAAACTTTGTTACTGTCCGTTCTAAAATGTATTTGTAACTGAAAATAATAATATGTAGCTGGATTTGATCCTGGAAATAATATTCAGTATTTAACTGAATTGGATCCGGATGTTGTACATCTGGACCCTGATGCAGCCCGAAGTTGCTGTAAGTTTTTTAGCAGTCATGTTATGTTGGCTCATCATGAATTTGTAATTAACTAAAATCCTAGGATTTTAATCTGGAGGTTTGCCTTCTCGTGATTTCTTTCCAAACCAAGTCTCCATCTTCCTTTAGTTTTGCAACAGATTTTTAGAAACCAGAATGTAAGACTTTACAGTTACCCTATTAAATTGTATCTCATTAGCCTATCAGCTAGCCCGGGGTTCTTTGAGTCTTGATTTTTGTTACTCAGTTTATTATGCTGATTCAACAAAGGGCCTTGAAGCTAACTAATGTCAGACATCTGGGAAATGATAATCAAAAGTCATGGAGACTATGTTCCAAAAACTGTTGGATGCAGATATAACTCAATTCTTCAAGTATATGTAAGTTAATACCACTGTGAATTGGCAAGGCCAGGTAAGACTGAAGTCCATTGTCACCTTGCCTTGTGTTGAATATTATTCCAAGATAGATGCTGTTCTAAGACATGTTGTGCCAACATAAAGCCAGAAGAGCTGGCTGATTCTTCCCGAGAAATCAACTAATGCACATAAGAGGTAGAGATAGCGTCATTGTGAGCATTCTTTTATTTTGTATTTGACAAATTTACACTGAGCACAGTATCAGGCAATGTGGGACATACTGGAGAACCAGGTTTGCCTCCTAACTAGGGTGACCACATGCTCTGGTTTGCCTGAGGCAACCCTGATTTATGCCTGTTGTCCCCATGTAATTATTAGTAACATCATTTTTCACTTTCAAAAGTGTCCAGGTTTGGAGGATAAATTATCCTGCTACTTTCCTTATAACCCAGTGGTTCCTTTTAGTATCTTATCTGGGTTACATATTACACAGCTGCAATTTGGCAGCTCTAATGAGGTTGCAACAGTACTTCTCTTCCATTTGAACAGATTGTTCCTTGCTTGACCAAGCGAAGTTGATGGCAAACGTTAACTCCGCAGTAAGGTCTGCAAATACTTAGCATTTCCTGAGCCACCCTCTAGAGGGCAGTATTATATATAGCTGGAATGATCCAATTCCAACCAAAAAATAGGCTCTTGTACATGAAAATCAGAAATACGCGATGTTCTTAAAGAACACATTGGAACCAATATTGTGAATAAAACTTATCATTTTATGATCAAAAAAGTAAAATATTAAAAATGAATTCATTAACATTCTGAACATTCTTTTTTTAATTTGTAAAGACTGAACTTTGATGGCTTGAATATACAATGATCTATTCTAACAATTATGCATAGACTTTAATAATCTGCATATTTTATGCTTTCGTATCTTTACTAATTAATGATTTGACATGTTTAATAATTATAATATATTCTGCATCACATAGTTTCCCTATTTATGTGAAACAAGCACTTAAATATTAATAGTTTTGTTCTACCTATTTAAATATTACTTTCCTCAAAAGAAGAAAAAAATTCTAGATTTTATTTTATGACTCGAATCATGTGGTAACGTTAAACTTTAGAATTAGAATGTTTCTTAGAAATTGTGTAATTATTTTTATGTCATGAGTGCATAGTTGTTAGCTCCTAATAACAAAAGTATGTTGTTTGTGTTTCATATTTTGGATTTCCTAATGTAATGTTCTCTTTTTAGAAAAGGTGGACAAGTCCTATTTTCAAGAGAAGATGACCTTTAACACTTTTGAAGGATCTAAAACTTGTATACCTGCAGACATCAATAAGGATGAAGAATTTGTAGAAGAGTTTAATAGATTAAAAACTTTTGCTAATTTTCCAAGTAGTAGTCCTGTTTCAGCCTCAACACTGGCACGAGCAGGTTTTCTTTATACTGGTGAAGGAGATACCGTGCGGTGCTTTAGTTGTCATGCAGCAGTAGATAGATGGCAATATGGAGACTCAGCAGTTGGAAGACACAGGAAAGTATCCCCAAATTGCAGATTTATCAACGGCTTTTATTTTGAAAATAGTGCCATGCAACCTACAAATCCTGGTGTCCAGAATGGTCAGTACAAAGTTGAAAACTATCTGGGAAACAGAAATCATTTTGCTTTAGACAGGCCATCTGAAACTCATGCAGACTATCTTCTGAGAACTGGACAGGTTGTAGATATATCAGACACCATTTACCCAAGGAACCCTGCTATGTGTAGTGAAGAAGCTAGATTAAAGTCATTTCAGAATTGGCCAGACTATGCCCACTTAACCCCAAGAGAGTTAGCTAGTGCTGGACTTTACTACACAGGTATTGATGATCAAGTGCAGTGCTTTTGTTGTGGTGGAAAACTGAAAAATTGGGAACCTTGTGATCGTGCCTGGTCAGAACACAGGCGACACTTTCCTAATTGCTTCTTTGTTTTGGGCCGGAACATTAATATTCGAAGTGAATCTGATGTTGTGAGTTCTGATAGGAATTTCCCAAATTCAACAAATCTTCCAAGAAATCCATCCATGGCAGATTATGAAGCACGGATCATTACTTTTGGGACGTGGATATACTCAGTTAACAAGGAGCAGCTTGCAAGAGCTGGATTTTATGCTTTAGGTAAACTTTATTATAAAACCAATAAATAACTTTGCAACTATCCCAGGGCTCCTAAAAAGTAAATAGATGCCTTTAGCCCCTTGAACTGGTAAATATTTAGGTGTAAGCTGGCATGATTATATCACTGTTACTTTGTGAGCTCTCATGTTGAATCTGTAATGTAACTACTGAATTTATGTGGAAAAAACTACCATATCATGAGTCATGTTTATCTTTATGTAATTGTTTCTAGGAGAGGGATGACATGCCTGGTAGATGGTAGATATCCCTGATAGAAGAATTGGTCTAATAGTAATACTAGCTATCATTTATTGAGCACCTACTATATGTGCGCGCGTGCGCGCTTTGTCTCTCTGTCTCTCTCCATATATATATATATATATATATATATATATATGTATATATATATATACACACATATAACATGCATTCTCTCTAAGCCTTACAACAACCTATAAAAAGAGTTAGAGAGTTTAGTTTGGGTCCTACTGTATTGAAATTGACATCTACCTTTAGTACATAGACTATATATTTGAAAACTGCCCTATATTATACTTATTGCTTCAAATGAGTACCTTTCACATGGACTGCTATAGACATGTCAGGAAGGGCCATTAGTGTGATGGCTCCCAGGGATATTTTTAAAAATCATACAGGTTTCACAGTTTGAAACACAAAATGCAATATTGATGGCCCAAATGAGATACATAAAAAAGAAAGTAACAATTTCAGTTTTTAACTTAAAATTGGGCAATTTTATTTTTATTTGTCTTCTGTAAAATACCTCAGATTAGATCAGTGAATTTAGTGTGTATTTCCTCCTCAAATGATAGAGATCATGTCTGTTACTAGATATGAACTTCAATGTCCTTTAAGCTATGAGATTTTCATATAATTTAGATGTGCTTAATTTTTAGGTGTGAAAATGGGTATTTTTGTGTAAGCTTCTAACTGCACAAATAAATATATCTTTTACTTGTGTGTTTTCTTAGGTGAAGGTGATAAAGTAAAGTGCTTTCACTGTGGAGGAGGGCTAACTGATTGGAAGCCCAGTGAAGACCCTTGGGAACAACATGCTAAGTGGTATCCAGGGTAAGATATTTAATTGTTCATTTATTAACAGGCAAGGTGAACAGCATGCAGTGGGAAGACTTGAATTACTTTTCACCTCAACTATTTTTTACTTTCGCTATGGCTTGAAATTCGTACCAGGTTTATAAAATGAGGTCACCTACTTTATAGGGAAAAAAAACCCACCTCAGCCTTCTCTGGTGACCAAAACATTCACTGTGTATGTGTTATGTCTATGACCCAAGATTATTACAGTTCTAAACGCAAATTAGGAAATGTATGCTTTTTTGTTGTTGGAAGTAGGCTCTTTCATGATAGGCACAGGAGAGCCCATGTTGCCAAGGAGATTCCTTAAGAAGCCATCATACCTCCTAGGAAATACTAATGTATCTCATTGACTAAGACACACAATTGTTCACATTTTTAAGATCACTGAAATCAGGACACATCTGGTGGTAGGTCATAATTTAATTGGCAGCAGTTTTAGATGGTATATAATAAAATAATCATGCTTCTTATACCAGTGGCATCTTAGGATGATGATATGCCCTAAATGTCTTTTTGCCATCTTGCCTCTTTATTTTAAAGTACACAGGTATGTAAGTGATGTGAATTCCTGGCCTATGAAATAGTACAATTTAAAACTTGAGATAAATCATTTGAAAAGAAATCTTAGCCTTAAACAGCTTTAAAGGGAAAAAATGAAAAGCCTAAAGAATTCCTTTTAAATGTAGAATTCGTTAATCCTCTAAATAAAACCTTTTAAGAAGATTAACTATTTAAAACTTTAAAAAAATGTTAAGGTGCTAATTTAATAACTCTTGTTTAAAAGTTTAAAGTTCTCAAGTTGATATTTTTTGCCCTACTAACAGCGTAAGTAGCATAACAAAAGGAACTTTTTTTAAACCTTAAAATGACAGTTGGGTAGGGAATTGGGTAACATTTTACTTTTGCTCCTTAGAAATACCAAAAAGCAAGTTAATGAAATTAATATGATGGAGATTATATCTTATACTTTACTAATTTATCAGCTACTAAAGTTGAACCTTCTTTTAATTGTTTAGGTGTAAATATCTGTTAGAAGAGAAAGGACAAGAATATATAAACAATATTCATTTAACCCATTCACTTGAGGAATCTCTGGTAAGTCTCATATTGTATAATATATATTTTCAAGTATTATATCATTTGTCTTACAATTATTTCTTTGTGTAAAATTCACAGTATAGTATTATAAATTAATAATACGTGATGAGCTTTAGCAGGGGAGAGCTTGAGGAATGCTTCTTATTCTTAACTTGAAGCAAATCTGTGAAAAGGGGATCAGCATGAACTGACTTAAATATCACTCTAGGCAAAAATGATGTTGAAGAACTAAAATACTGAAGTCCCTTTGCCTTCTGAATTTAGACCTTTGTATAATCCGTGTTCTACTCATAAGTAGTTTTAAACTTTTTGCATACAATATTTAAAATCTCAAAAATGTATCTAAATTGATAGGATGAACTGGGGTGGCCAAGGCATCAGTAATATGTGGAAAGAACCCTGGACTAGCATGGGAGACTGCAGCTACCATGATGGCTCTCCCATCAAGTCATTCAATCTCCCTGGGCTTCAGTTTCTTGTCTATAAAGTGAAAGGACTGGATTAGATGATCTTTTAACAACTTCTAGCTCCATCAGGCTGTGCCTCTTGTGAATATTCATATATTGAATTGGAGTAACGCCAATTTATTTCAAATTTATGATTAACGTAACTTTTCAAATTGAGGTAATTGCCTTCTACCGAAAAGAATTCTAACTTACAATTCATATTTCTATTATAGGTAACAACTGCTGAAAAAACACCGTCACTAACTAAAAGAATTGGTAAATATGCTTACTAAATTAAATATACTTTTAATTTCACTGCGAATTTATTATAGTTATTTATGGGGTAGAAAGATAAGCATATTCTTTCAAGGTCACCACAGTATATTTATTTAAGATGAGATTGCTGACTGGGTGCAGTGGCTCACACCTATAATGCCAGCACTTTCGGAGGTCGAGGTAGGAGGATCAGGAGTTCAAGATCAGCCTGGACAATGTAGCAAGACCTTATCTCTACAAAAAATAAAAAAATTAGCCTGGCATGGTGCTGCACACCTGTAGTCCCAGCTACTGGGGAGGCTGACGTGGGACGTTCGCTTGAGCCCAGGAGTTTGCTGCTGCAATGAGCTATGATTGTGCCACTGCACTCCAGCCTGGGTGACAGAGCAAAACCCAGTCTCTCAAAAAAATATATATATGTTGCTACAAATTTAAGAATTTAATGAAGTGCCTATAAATTTTAGTCAGATATTTCTGTTCTAAGAACATTAGTACAGCCATTGACAGTTTTTCCAAGTTTAGGAGGAGCCAGCTATAGGCTGTCTCATTCCCATTTCCATTAAAATCACAAGAGAAAGGGTTAAGTGTATTTTTGTCCCTGGGCTCTTTAAGTAAGCCAGGATTATGAATTACATATGGTACTAATGTGCTGTCACAATGATTAGCCCTAACCCACCTGCCTCTTTATTCCATGCTGTCTTTATGCCTTCCCCAGCTTCACAGAAGAGTAAGGTTTGGTTTGTTTTCCTTCTATTCCCTCATAGAGAACTAGAGGTTTTTATCACAAAGATTTTTTACTCATCATAGACATCTTTAAAAACCATAAAGTGGGCTGGGCATGGTGGCATATGCCTGTAGTCCCAGCTACTCAGGAGCCTGAGATAGGAGGATCACTTGAGTCCAGGATTCTGGGCTATAGTGTGCCATGCTGATTGGGTGTCCACACTAAGTTCATTATCAATATGATGACCTCCTGGGAGCCAGGGACCACAAGGATGCCTAAGGCAAGGTGAACCTGCCCAGGTTGGAGCAGGTCAAACTCCTATGCTGATCAGTAGTGAGAGCACACCTGTGAACAGCCACTTCAGTCCGGCCTGGACAACATAGTGGGATCCCATCTCTTTTAAAAAAAAAAAAGTCTTAAAGTGGGTAGAGAAAGATATTATGTTAAGCAGGGAAGATATTGTTATCTTCACTTTTCGTTTATTTAATTAATTTATTTTTTTTTCCTCCAACCTGCTTCCAAGAAAGATATCCCCACTTTTCAGATGAAGAAACAGAGGTTAAGAGGTTGCCTACAGTCACATTACAAGTCATTAGTGGAACTAGGACTGTAAACAAGGTCTTCTGAATCCTATATCACACTGCAGATCTCATTTTCAACTTAGGCATCATGTTTCAAAAATAGTAGAAAATTTAATTTAGAATATGTCTGGTGATTCCCCACTCCCTATACTTGTAGCATCATCTGTTTAGTATCTTAAGGATTATAAGGGAAGAGAATACTATATATATTCATAAATATGCTTGAGAAAGAGAGCTACTTTCATACTTTTTGATGTGAGTTTTGGGCTTTGGTATTTTTTTTTTAAGACAGGCTCGTGCTCTGTTGCCCAGGGTAGATGCCTAGAGTACAGTGGTGTCATCATAGCTCACTGCAACCTCAAACTCCTCGGCTCAAGTGATCTTCCCACCTCAGCCTCCCAAAGTGCTAGGATTAGAGGGGTGAGGCTCTGTACCCCCCTGATATGGGGTTTGTAATGGACATAATAGTATAATCTAAGAAATCATTTAGTCCGGCCCATATTTTTAAAGTTATTCAGAAACAAAGATTCTGTAGCTTTTTTTTGAGACAGGGGTCTTGCCCTGTTGCCCAGGCTGGAGTGCAGTGGCTATTCACAGATGCCGTCATCACACACTACAGCCTTGAACTCCTCACCTCAAGCAATTCTCCCTCCTCAGTCTCCCTAGTAGCTGGGACTGCAGACGTGCACCACCACACCCAGCTTCTATAACATTTCTTTTTTTTTTCTGAATATGATGATTTTATTATTCATGGAATTAATGGAATATCTGGCTTGGAAGGAACTTTGAGTTCCTGAAGCTCTCTGAGGGAGAAAGCTGAGGTCTACAGAGAATGGAGATAACTATTCCAATGTTATACAGTCACTCAGAGGCAGGAATGGCACCCTAACTCTTGAACCCTAGGCTAGTTTGCATGACTTGTTAAGGACCACTGCCCAGGGGTGGAGAAGAAAGATCCTCCCCATAAGCACATCTCTTGCCCACTTTTTTTTTTTTTTTTGAGACAGAGTCTTGCTCTGTCACCCTGGGTAGAGTACATCACCATAGCTCACTACAACCTCAAACTCCTGGGCTCAAGTGATCCTCCTGCTTCAGCCTCCTGAGTAGCTGGGACTACAGGCGCGTACCACGAAGCCTGGCTAATTTTTCTATTTTTAATAGAGATGGGGTCTTGCTCTTGCTCAGGCTGGTCTCAAACTCCTGAACTCAAGTAGTCCTCCCTCCTCGGCCTCCCAGAGTGCTAGGATTATACACGTCGCCACTGCACCTGGCCTCTTGCCCACTTTTATTAGTTTACCTTTCATTCACACAGCATCACACGGATTCTGGGTCCAATGGCCTTAGCAGGAAAGTTCCTTCAGAATTTGGCACGAAGCATGCCACTGTTTCCATGGGCCTGAGTTATCTTCCCCAGATTACTCTGGTTTTGTTTGGTTTGCCACCAGAAGTCACTGCATTGTTCTTTGCTTTGTATAAGTAAGCACATCTCTTGCCCAAATAGAATTCAGTTTCATCTCGGGCATAAACACCTTCAATTTTAAGGAGAGCTGTGTGCTCTCTTTGTTTCCGGAGACCCCACTTATAGCCAGCAAAGATGACCTTGGACCACAACCTTCCAGACTGATTTGCCTTTTAGAAGTCCTGTTCCCAGCAGACCTCTACGGGCTCCAAGATAGCAGAAAAGGCTATAACATTTCTTGATAATATTTTTTGGTATTTAATCATCCTTATAATGCATAATAATCTTTTTATGACTAATGAGATTCTTGTTCTTGTTAGGGTTAATGTATTAATTGACAGGGTCTCACTCTGTTGCCCAGGCTGGAGTATAGTGGTGTGATCATCACTCACTGTAACCTGGAACTCCTAGGCTCAAGCAATATTCCTGCCTCAGCCTCGCAAAGTGTGGGATTACAGGCGTGAGATACCACACCCGGCCTGGAGTTAATGTTTTTAAATTGAGATATAATTCATGTAACATAATTTCACCCTTACAAAGTGTACAGTTTAGTGGTTTTTAGTATGTTCACAAGGTTGTTCAACCATTACTGCTGTTTAATTGCAGAACATTGCCATTACCCCAAAAAGAAACTCTATACTCACCCATCAATAGTCACTCCCCATTGCCCTCCCTGCCCCCAGGCAACCACTAATCTACTTTCTGTCTGTATGGATTTGCCTATTCTGGACATTAATGTAAATGGAATCATGCAATATGTGGCCTCAAGGTTCATCCATGTGGTAGCATATGTGAGTACTTCATTCTTTTTTATAGTGGAAAAATATTCCATTGTATGGATAATACTAGATATGTTTATCCGTTTGTCAGTTGATGGACATTTGGCTTGTTTCTACTTTTTGGCTGTTGTGAATGATGCTGCTATGAACATTTGTGTATAAGTTTTTGTGTCGACATATGTTTTTAATTCTTTTGGGTATATATCCAAGGGTGGAATTGCTGGGTCATGTTGTGTATCTCTTTGTTTAACCTTTTGATGAAATAGCAATTTCCAAAGTGCCTGCAACATTGAGTTGTAAGAGCTTTAAGTTCCTTGTCAGATGTACGATTTGCAATTATTTTCTCCCATTCTGTGGGTTGTCTTTTCACTTTCTTATTGGGGTTCTTTGAAGCACAAAAGTTTTTAATTTTGATGAAGTCTAATTTACCTATTTTTCCATTGCTCATGCTTTTGATGTCACATTTAAGAAACCATTGCCTAATCCAAGGTCACAAAGGTTTCTACCTATGTTTTCTTCTAAGAGTTTCATGGTCTGGACCTGGTGGCTCACGCCTGTAGTCCTAGCACTCTGGGAGGCCAAGGTGGGAGGATTGCTTGAGCTCAGGCATTCGTTATCAGCCTGAACAAGAGTGAGACTGTGTCTCTACTAAAAATGGAAAAAATTAGCTGGGCGTTGTGGTATACACCGTATCCCAGCTACTCAGGAGGCTGAGGCAGGAGGATCGCTTAAGCCCAGGAGTTTGAGGTTGCAGTGAGCTATGATGACCCCACTGCACTCTACCCAGGGCGACAGAGGGAGACTCTGACTCAAAAAAAAAATGAGTTTTATGGTCTTGGCTCTTACATTCAGGTCTTTGATCCATTTTGAGTTAATTTTTGTATATGGTATCTGGTGGTGGTCCATTTCATTCTTTTTCATGTGGATATCCGGTTGTCCCTGCTTTTGGTTTTTTAGCAAGTTGAGTTTGAGATACCTGTAGGACCTCAAAGTAGGAGGATATTAAAACCTAGTACTCATATAAATGAGAGTAAGATGGTGGTGGTAGGGGAAGTGCCTGGAGAGATCACATATAATTAGGTGGGCAGAAGTAAACAGCAACAAAACAAACTGGAAAAAGAGCAACTCAGAAATAGGAGAAGCAGAAAAGAGCAATGCCCACCTGCCTTCTGGACATTTCTACCTAGAAATCCCAAAAGGATCTCAAATTTAGCATCTCTAAAAACCACTCAGACTGGATCTAGAGCTATTCTTTTTTTCTCCTATACTGGTTAATAGTACCACAGTTCACAAAGTTGCCTAGTAATTTGAGTCATTCTAAGCTGTTTGCTCTCCTTAATCCTTCTATATTTAATTAACCACCAGGTCTGATAGATTCCATCTTTTTAATATTGTCTGAAATCCATCCCCTCCCCACTAATTGTGCTCTAGCTCAGGCCCTTATTTTTCATCTGGGCTATTGTAGTAGTCTCCTCACTAGTCTTTTGTCTGCATGATAACTTCCCAACAGAGTTTTTCTTTATCAAACACAAATCGTAAGTTACTTTCCTACCTAAAAAATATCTCATTACTTACCATATATATTTCTTATAATCAAATGCCTACATCTCTACTCTTCCATCCTTTTCTCCTTTCAAAAACATTTATGAGGTATAACATACATACAGTAAAGTTCTTAAAGTACATTAATCTTAAGTTTTCATCTCAATGAATTTCAACATATATATACACCTGTGTAACCATCACTCAGATCAAGATATAAAACATTTCCACCACCCCAGAAAGCTCCTTTAGGCTCTTTCACCATCAATACCCACCCCCAAGTTATATTCTGGCTTCCATTACCATAGGTTATTTTTGCTTATTACCATAGGTTAATTTTGAACTTCTTATAAATGGAATCATGCAGTATGTACTCTTTTGTCTTTAATTCATCATTATGATAATGTTTTGCTCATCATATCTACGAGATTCACCCATATTTTCTATGAAAATAGTTTGCGATGTTTTTCTTGCTTTGTAGTGTTTGAATATACCACAATTTATTTGTTTAATCACCTGATGATGGATATTTGAGTTCTTTCCAATTTGGGGCTATTATGAATATAAAGAATGCCACCATGAATATCTTGTGTATGTTTTTGGTGGAGATATTCACTCATTTTTTTATACCCAAGAGAGGAATTGATGAATCAGAGGGTACAAGTCTCCTCTCTTAGCACTTCCCTACACATCTTATACTCCTACTTTGATTATCATAAAAATGAGTTTTCACTGACTTTCTGCCCTATCTAGTCCAACCCCTTCAGCTGCAGAAACTAAGTCTGAGAGCTAGGAAACTGATATATTCAAGGTCACAGACTGGGACTTTCCCCAATTTCCCATCATTTTTTCCAAATAATTGCTACTAACTTGGTAACAACATCCACCCTTTAAGTACCTTAGCTTAGCTGTTAATTAATACAGCGGGATTCAAAACAATTCGGATATTTGAAGCACTTAATTAACCCTTTTCTTACCTGTTTTACTTTGTCTTGCATTGTTTTTGTTATTGTTTTCGTTTTGTTCTTTGGAGACAGAGTCTTGCTCTGTCACCCCAGCTACAGTGCTGTGGCATCATCCTAGCTCACTGCAACCTCAAACTCCTGGGCTGAAGTGATCCTCCTGCCTCAGCCTCCTCAGTAGCTGGGACTACAGGCATGTGCCACCACACCCAGCTAATTTTTCTATTTTTTGTAGAGACAGGGCCTCGCTCTTGCTCAGGCTGGTCTCGAACTCGTGAGCTCAAGTGATCCTCCTGCCTTGGCCTCCCAGCGTGCTAGAATTACAGGCATTAGCCACCGCACCCAGCCACTTGCCCTGTTTTATCAGTCTTTACAGCACCTAATCTTCAACAATGTGAAGCACTACAAAATACATACTCACTGCCTTTACACTTAATTGTAAGATTCTGAACATGATCCTTCAGTGCATGAGTACTTCAAAAAGTCTTCCCAAAGCGGCTTTCGTTTGCTGGTTTGTTTTTGGTTTTTTGCTTGCTGCTTAATTTTTTCTTTTTAACTATATTTTGCTATTGAGTTGTGTTAATGAAAGTAATTGTTTAAATCCTATGTTCTTTTTCCTCATCAATTTTCTTTTCAGATGATACCATCTTTCAAAATCCTATGGTACAAGAAGCTATACGAATGGGATTCAGTTTCAAGGACATTAAGAAAATAATAGAAGAAAAAATTCAGACATCTGGGAGCAACTATAAATCATTTGAGGTTCTGATTGCAGATCTAGTGAGTGCTCAGAAAGACAGTACACAAGATGAATCAAGTCAGACTTCATTTCAGAAAGGTATGCATGGCTGTTTTTAAAAAGCAAGATAAACCTAACAGCACTTCATTATGGCTAGTATCTTACGTGACTTTGTGGCCCATTCATTTCCCTCCTGTCACCTCTCCTTTAGGGTAAACATTTTTTGAAACTTTTTATTATGAAAAATGGCAAGCATACACAAAAAATAGAACACTATAACAAATCCTCATGTACCCATCAACCAGCTTCAATAATTCAGTCAACACTTTTCTAATCTTGTTTCATATCTTCCCCTTTTTTTGCTATAGTATTTCGAAGTAAATACCATATATCCTATATATTATTACCTGTAAATACTTTGAGATATAGCTAACAGATAAGGACATTTTTAAAACACAACCATAATGCTGTATCTGCTCAAGCTGCTACACAAAATACCATAGACTGGGTGGCCTAAACAATAGACATTTATTTCTCACGGTTCTAGAGGCTGGGAAGTCCAAGATCAGGGTGCCAGCAGATTGGTTCCTGGTGAGGGCCCTCTTCCTGGGTTGCAGATGGCTGCCTTCCCATTGTGTCCTCACATAGCGTAGAGCATGGGGAGGAAGTGCTCTGCTCTCTCTTCCTCTATTTATAAAGACACTAATCCCGTCATGAGGGATCTCACGCTCATGACCTCATCTAAACCAAATTACTTCCCCAAAGGCCCCACCTCTAAATACCATCACATTAGGCATGGAAAAAAGATAAAAAATATGAATTCCTCCATTATGGATAGTATAGTGCTTCTCAGCAACATTGAAGATTAAAGAAGTTTCAAACCGCATACACTTTTGGGTACTTTACTTACAATCATTGATCTTTAAGCTCTTGACCACTCTCCCCCAAAAGGTGAGAATTCACCTAGTGTTAATAAACCTAAAAGTTTACTTATTTTTGACACTTTTACAACCCTTTTGATCTTTAAGATATTTCAAATGCTTTTGAAACATTATTCAGATAATTACATAAGTCATAAAACTATATGAACATTAATGATATTTAAAATTATATCTGTTGATATAAAAGATTCAGGAGAAAGCTTACTACTTTTTCCTTAGAGATTATTTAAAACCAATACAAGTTCCACTTGTCTTGGTGGTGATAAAATAAACCATTTACTTGGTCATCTTTCTACTGAAATGGAAGTACAAGCAGTTGTGTCATTTTTCTCTGCACTTAAACACAACTAAAGCTAAATTAAGTTTGCCTGTAATTTGTTAGTTTTTATACCTGAAAGTGGTGTCTGCAACAGAAGGATTCAGCAAGTTGCAGCAGGAAGAGAAAAGGGACAGAGTGCACTGGGGGGGTGTCTTTTCTGTATCCAATAGGAGTCGATGGGGGCTCTTATTATCACTGAGACTGCAGACTGGGATGGTGTGGGAAGGAGGGCCTAAGTAAATAGCAGCCCTCAGGGATGGGAGTTGGACTTTATCAGTTGACTTCTCCTTAGTCTCCCTAAATTGAGAGGCAGGTAATTAACACAGGCTGTCTACTCATGGTGAGACTGCTGCCTATTTCTCTTCCCAAAGGCTAATGAGGAAAGGCTGGCACTCAGATTCTTTTAATTTTATACAAAATAAGGATGGGCCTAATTGAAGTGAAGCAGGTAAAAGTTATTAGAAAAAGTATAATATTGTTACTGAGAAATCCTAGATCTGATGCTAGCTGCTGTTTTCCTCTTTTTAAAAATTATGTCATGTGGGGCCGGGCGCGGTGGCTCACGCCTGTAATCCTAGCTCTCTGGGAGGCCGAGGGGGGCAGATTGTTTGAGCTCAGGAGTTCGAAACCAGCCTGAGCAAGAGCGAGACCCCGTCTCTACTAAAAATAGAAAGAAATTATTTGGACAACTAAAAATATATAGAAAAAGTTAGCTGGGCATTGTGGTGCATGCCTGTAGTCCCAGCTACTCGGGAGGCTGAGGCAGGAGGATCACTTGAGCCCAGGAGTTTGAGGTTGCTGTGAGCTAGGCTAACGCCACAGCACTCTAGCCCGGGCAACACAGTGAAACTCTGTCTCAAAAAAAAAAAAAAATTATGTCATGTGAGATAAAGCCCTTTATTTAGTATATGTGCTAAAGCACTTATATTAATCCTTATGTATATATTACTGTATATAATATAAAAATCAAATAACCCATATTTATTATCTGTCCACATAGATCTACTCTAATAGTAAAATGAATAATATCAGTTTATTCTAGAAGAGGTTTAAAAGGATGAATTAATAGTAAACCTGAGCAAGAGTGAGACTCTGTCTCTACAAAGAAATAGCAAAATTAACCAGGTGTGGTGGCAAGCTCCTGTAGTCCCAACTACTCGGGAGGCCGAGGCAGGTGATCACTTGAGTCCAGGGGTTTGAGGCTGCAGTGAGCTATGATCACAACACTGCACTCCAGCCAGGGAGACAGAGTGAGACCCCGTCTCAAAAAAAAAAATGTTGTAGTAAAAATATTAGCAAGTAACATTGAAGATTATCTAGATATTGCTTTTATTGTTCATGTTCCGAGAACCCCCTGACCTAGAAGAGGGCCTTGTGGGAAGTAGTAGGGGAAAGGTGCTGTAGGGAAGGATGCAGAATCCAATAGTTACCTTTAAGGTTAGGGTGAAGTAATTGCCAGAGGTAAACTATTAGGCTGATGGAAAAAAATCTATGCCCAGAGCATCACCATCTCAAGTTAGTAGCTGTATCACAAGGCTGAAATAAGGTAGGAAAAGGTAGAGTTGATGGTATCAGTGTTTGGTAGACATGACATTTCATTCTGCCTCTATAAATTTGACTAGGTATCTGGACCAGTGTTATTGTTTTTTTTTTTTTCAACTCATTGCAGCATCCCATCCAAAAGCAATACATAAATTACTTGTTTTCCTCCTTTTGATTTTTTTTGGCATGAATATACACTTCATTCTGACTTTTTTTTTGGTGTTGATTCTTTATATAAGTCAGCTTACAATGCCATCTGTTTATTTATGTTGTTTCCTCTGACCTAAATGCCTTTTCCCTGTCTGTATATCGAGTCACATTCCCCACTCCACCCCCAACTCCCTGAATCCATCTTGTGAATTCATCCTTCAAGGCTCAGCTCAGAAGTCACTTCTTTCAAGTTTTCTCTAGTACCCACAGCAGGGTTAGGAGCTCCTTCTTTTCTACTCCTGGTGCTGGTAGAGCATTTTTTACATTGTTTTGGAACTGTTTTCTTTTCTGTCTTGTCCATTAGACCAAGCTTCTTTGAGGGTAGGTGCTTTATCTTCCTATCTCTGATGTGTTCCATGTTTGAGCCTATAGTTTTTGTTATGCCCAAGAAGTTGCTTTTTAAGAAGAAAGGGATTAAATAGTGCTTTCCTCTATCCCTTAGCCAGAGATACCTTTCTGAAGCACAAATGTGATCATATCTCACTCCAGTTTAAAACCCTTCATTGGCTCCCAGGGCCCTCAGGGTCAAGTCCAAACTCCTTATATGGCTTGCCAAATCTTTCACAGTCAGGCTTCTGCTAACCTTCTGTAGCCTCATTTCATGCTCTTTTCCCCTCAAATTCTTTGCCTAAGCTTTACCTGTGCACTTGCAGGCCATGTTCTGTTTCTCTTCTTAGAGCTTGCTGATGCCATTTCCTTTATCCAGAGCATGCTTCTCCTACTTCCCCTGTCCCCCAAGGCCTTCTCTCTCCAAGTTAACTCCTAACTTATCCTTTAGGGCCCAATTTAAGAATGACTTCCTCTGGGAGGCTTTCCTTTATGCGTGCGTGCATGCACACACTTGCACACACCATTCCTGTGCTTTCATAACACATTGTAATTACCTTCGTGATAATATAATTTCCTGTTTACTGGTGTTCCTTACTTGTCTATGAACTATTGGGGGCCTGAGGTCTATATATTTGTTAATTGTATGTCTAGTGCCTAGAACCTAGTTAAATGTTCAGTAAGTATTTGTCGAATAAAATTAAGCTGTTTTCCAAACATGTGTTCAGAATAGTGTTCCTGAGGATATTAAAAGGGTTGCCATGAAAAAGGGGCTCCAAAGTTAAAGAGGGAAATGCATCGTACATTTCCAAGGGGAGCATATACTATACTATACTGTACTACATTGTAGTAGGTGGCAGTGGTTCCCAAATACCAGTGTGCCGACCCCAGAAATTTTAGATTCTGTGAATGGGGCCCAGGAATCTGTTGCTTAAAAATGCCTGAAGTTATTCTTATATGAGGCCAGATTTTGAAACCACTGGTATACACTGATTACAAAGATAGTTAAAATATGTAATGCATTTGGAATAATGCCTAGCACATGGTATTTATGCTATATTACTGTTAACTGGTGCTGCTGCTGCTGTTGTTATCATTAGAGTTATAAATGACCATGATACATTTTTTTGGCATATTTGTTAACATTTCCCAAAACCTATTTTGGAAAAGACTGAATTAAGCAAGTACTTCAGTGCCACCTATATGTTGATGACACCAAATCTCTATCTCTAGCCCTGACTTCTCCCGACCTCAAGATTTGACTCTTCAGTTACCTACTGGATATTTTTATATGGATGCCCTGCAAACACCTCAAAAACATCTGAAAATCCCAAACCTGTACCTCCTTTTATATTTCCTATTGACATCACCCTAGCCTTCTCAGCCAAGCTAGCAATCTTGAAATCGGCTTTAGTTCCTCTTTCTTCCTCAGCCATCAGATTCAGTCAATCACCAAATCCTACTTATCCCATGTCAGAAGTGTCCCTCAAATCCATCCGTCCATTTCTGGAATCAGTCGTGCCCTTTCCATATGCTACTTTTACCTGACCCTTGCTTTTCTGCCTGGGAAATTACTGTCCATGTGTAAATGTCACTCTTCCACTTCCCTCCCCCCTCAACCCAGCGGCTGCCAACCCGTGAAGCATTCCCTAACTAGCCTGAACGGAAGAACTTGTTCTCATCTTGTCCCAGGGCACTTTGTACGTAACTTTATTATAGCACTTATCACTTTGTACTTTGTGCTCACCTCTGTAGCCTCATCTTACATCCTCTCCCACTAGCATGCAAGCTATTTAAGAGCAGATGCCATGTGTGAGTCATCCCCATATCTCCCGGCACTATTCCAGTGCCTGGCACATACTAGGGGCTCAGTAAATGTTTCAATGAATTTAAACAATTAAGAAAGTCTAAAACTAGCATAATTCTTTTCTTTTCATGCAGAGATTAGCACTGAAGAGCAGCTAAGGCGCCTGCAAGAGGAGAAGCTTTGCAAAATCTGTATGGATAGAAATATTGCTGTGGTTTTTATTCCTTGTGGACATCTGGTCACTTGTAAACAATGTGCTGAAGCAGTTGACAAATGTCCCATGTGCTACACAATCATTACTTTCAAGCAAAAAATTTTTATGTCTTGATCTAACTCCACAGTAGGCATGTTATGTTCTTCTTATTATCCTGATTGAATGTGTGATGTGAACTGACTTTAAGTAATCAGCATTGAATTCCATTAGCATTTGCTGCCAAGTAGAAAAAAATGTAAACGGCAGTGTCTTAGTTGGCAATCTAAACTTTGAATTTCTGGATTTTCAGGGTATTAGCTGTATTATTTATCCAATTTCTTTTACTGTTAATTTAATTGAAACCCTAGACTAAGAAACATCATATTATAACTCATCACAATGTGTATTTGTAGCATACCGACTTAGTTTCTAAGTGTAACTGAATTAATCATCTGAATTTTTCGTTCTTTTCAGATAGGCTTAACAAATGGAGCATTCTGTAGAAACGTGGAGATTAGAGTTAATCTCCCCAATCACATAATTTGTTATGCGTGAAAAAGGAATGAACTGTTCCACACTGGTGGAAAGATAGAGATTATTTTTAGATGTTTATCTTTGTGTTTTAGGATTCTGTCCATTTTCTTTTAAAATTATAAACATGTACTTGTATGAATGATTTTTAAAAAGTAATTTTGCTATCTTTGAAAGGGTATTTAATGATAGAATACCATCTAGCCAACGTGTACTAACATGGAAAGATGTCAAAGATATATTAAGTATAAAATGCAAGTGGCAAAACACTATGTACAGTATGAGCCAAATCAAGATGTGTGTTTTGTATATGTATAGAACAAAAGATTTGGAAAAATATGCACCAAATTGTTAAATGTGGTTTCTCTTGGGGGAGGTGAGGGGTAGGTCCCAGAGGGGGTTTGCCAGGGGCCTTTCACTTTTTTTTTCATTTTGTTCTGTTTCAATTTTTTATAAGTATGTATTACTTTGGTAATCAGAAATTTTAGAAAGTATTTTACTGATTTAAAGGCTTAGGCATGTTCAAACGCCTGCAAAACTACTTATTGCTCAGTTTTAGTTTTTCTAATCCAAGAAGGCAGGGCAGTTAACCTTTTTGGTGTCAATGTGAAATTTAAATGTTTTTATGTTTTTCCTGCTTTGTGGATGGGAAATATTTCTGAGTGGTAGTTTTCTGACAGGTAGACCATGTCTTCTTATCTTGTTTCAAAATAAATATTTCTGATTTTGTAAAATGAAATATAAAATATGTCTCAGATCTTCCAATTAATTAGTAAGGATTCATCCTTAATCCTTGCTAGTTTAAGCCTGCCTAAGTCACTTTACTAAAAGATCTTTGTTAACCCAGTATTTTAAACATCTGTCAGCTTATGTAGGTAAAAGTAGAAGCATGTTTGTACACTGCTTGTAGTTATAGTGACAGCTTTCCATGTTGAGATTCTCATATCATCTTGTATCTTAAAGTTTCATGTGAGTTTTTACTGCTAGGATGATTAAGATGTATATAGGACAAAATGTTAAGTTTTTCCTCTACCTAAATTGTTTTCTTGACTAGTAATAGTAGTAGATATTTCTGAAATGTTCTCTCAAGATCCTCAAAATCTCTTTAAAATTATAAGATATTGGCAAGAAAAGAATAGTTGTTTAAATATTTTTAAAAGACACTTGAATAAGAGTCAATATGGGTAAAAAAAATGTAAGTTTAAAAATGCTTCAAAGAAAAGTCCAGGGTTTACAAGATTCTCACAACAGACCTATTGTAGAGGTGAGTGAGGCATGTTACTGCAGAGAAAAGTTTGACAGTGAAACCATATTTTTGTTGTATTTTCTAAGAGAAAGAGTATTGTTATGTTCTCCTAACCTCTGTTGATTACTACTTTAAGTGATATTCATTTAAAGCGTTGCAAATTTAAATGAGAATTTTTAAAATTAAATAATGACTGCCCTGTTTCCATTTTATCATGTAAATCCTCAGTTCTTCACCTTTGCACTATCTTCCACTTAGGTTTAATTATGTAGTCATTAAGTTGAATTTGACTTGTATAACCTAAGGTTTAAATTTAAAGCATCCTACAAGGGAAGAAAAGTGTTAAAATTTTTTAGTTATGTTTTCCAGCACACTTAAGCTCCAGGTCAGATAGGTAGTTCAATCTAGTCGTTAGCCAAGAACTCAAAGACTGAATTATGGTTTTTTTTGTTTTTTTTTTTTGAGACAGAGTCTCACTCTTTTGCCCGGGCTAGAGTGAGTGCCGTGGCGTCAGCCTAGCTCACAGCAACCTCAAACTCCTGGGCTCAAGCGATCCTCCTGCCTCAGCCCCCCGAGTAGCTGGGACTACAGGCATGCGCCACCATGCCCGGCTAATTTTTTTTTTGTATATATTTTTAGTTGTCTAATTAATTTCTTTCTATTTTTAGTAGAGACGGGTCTCGCTCTTGCTCAGGCTGGTCTCAAACTCCTGAGCTCAAACGATCCACCCACCTCGGCCTCCCAGAGTGCTAGGATTACAGGCGTGAGCCACCACGCCCGGCCAAAGACTGAATTGTTTTAACTTAAGACTTTTCCTGTTCTGGGAGCCTCAGTTCATTAAAATTCTTCTTTTAAGACTTATGTGTTTAGAGTTAAGCAAGACTTCTTTTCTCTCTCCCTGAGTTGTGAAATTTAATGCATGAAGCTGATGTGGCTAACAAGTTTATTTTAAGAATTGTTTAGAAATGCTGTTGCTTCGGGTTCTTAAAATCACTCAGCACTCCAACTTCTAATCAAATTTTTGGAGACTTACCAGTGTTTGTCTATGTTCCCACTATAAAAAGCACCAAATCCTTCCCATCTAATCATGTAAAAATTGATCGTTTGCAAGGTTAAAAAATATAACCAGATCCAAATGTGTGCCCCCTCCCCAACAGCTCTCAGTATCTACATGTAGACATTCCTTTTCTGTATAAAATTCACTCTAGGATTTCAAGCGACCACTTATTTGACTACATTTTAACCACGTGAAGATTCAAGTTGCTTTGTAATAGTTATCTTTACTTGTAATGATTTAGTGTGCTGAAAAGCATTGTCTTAATTTTTGAGAAATGGGTTTAGCATTTGTAGAGTAAATTCCAGTTTATTAATTAATGGCTTTGTATTGCCTTTCCTGCTAGAATTGGTTTTTCCCTCTTCCCTTTGGTTGTGGGGGGTGACGTAGGTTAGGGTGGGCATAGTGAGTGTATATAATCTGATTTAGCCCTGTGTATTGTGATATTTTGTTTTTGTTACGTTATTTAAATTTTGGTAGTTTCTTCTGTTTTCATTTTAGTGGATACAATTTGTATTTTGAACTCTCTGAATGAAGACTACCACCCCAGCATTAGTTGCATATGTTGTACCCCTTAGACCCAAATTATTATTTTATTTCCTGATTCACCAGGTGTTGAATGAAGAAAGGGTGAAAGGGGTAGGAGAAATGGGATAGGTTGCATATCATTACTATTAGAGAAATAAGAAAATAGGAAGGAATATAAAAAACTCAAACTTCTTCATCTATAAAATGAGAGTAATACCTATCTTACAAGGTGATGAGAGTTCAGGAGATCATATATGTAAAGCTCCTGCTATAAATGTTAATTCCCATGCTAACACCCTCTTACCCCTCCATGGGTTTGCCTTGACCTGGAAATTTGAGCTAAAATTTAGAAGAAATTCTTATTAACTCTTTCAGTGACTCTTACCCATCTTTTTGGTATTTCTCATAGTTAAGACATAAATTACAATAAATAAATAGGTCAGACCCTTAAAAATATTTAAATTATTTTTTTAAATTTGAAAAATTTATTCTCAAATTTAGTTGAGCTTTCTTAATAGAAACAATTGGCTTATTCCCCTGTTAACAATTGGTCTCAGTTATACTGTAATCATCAGTTTCAATACACTTAACACAGTGCTTCTTTTTCAGCATAATAGAATCATAGAATGTCAGAGCTGGAAGTGACCTTAGAGAGTATCTAATTCATCCCCCTCATTTTACAGGTGAGGCAACTGAGACTCAAAGGTGAGGTAATTTGTTCAAAGATATAATAGCTAATTAGTGGCAGAGCCTTGACTAGGACATATTTTGAAGGTGAAAAATTTCACCAAGCTACCTCTCCTGGAAAGTCACATGTTTATTTTTTCAACTATTCTTTCCACTATGCCATAATTTTCACTACATATTAAATGACACTTTATAACTAATAGGACAATCTTAAATACATATACAGTCGGTCCTTCAGGTTTTGCATCTGAGGATCCAACCAACCAAGGATTGAAAACATTTGGGAAAAAATGATAAAAAACGATACAACAATAAAAAATATAAGTTAAAAAACAATACAGTGTAACAACTATCTACATAGCATTTACATTGTATTAGGTATTATAAATAATCTAAAGATGATTTAAAGTTTAAGGGAGGATGTACATAGGTTATATGCAAAGTGATTAAGCATCCCAGGATTTTGGTATCTCTGGGGAGTCCTCGAACCAACCCCACGCAGGTATCAAGGGACGACTGTATCTTCAAATTGGACAATATGACATTAATGTTTGGGTGGTAAGATTCTATTTTGAAGTCTAGAGTTTGCAGATATGCATATAGATTTTTGGAATTTACTATTATGTATCATTAATGTAACATTTAAAATTACTATATATTTTACCATTTTGTGTATACTTAGTACCAAATTTGCATTTTTAATTTGATGTAACAGAGGCTTTAATGTAATTTCTGTTAGATTTTGCATTTTTTTCATTACTGTTATACTTTAACCTGACAGAATGACTGATTATTATGTCATGGTATTAGTATTGTGAATAATCATGTGAATTGTTTTGAGACAGAGTACTATATTTGTGAATATAATTTTATGGCTTTTTTCATTTAGTAGGAACCTTTCCATCGGTATGGAAAACTAAGAAAATTGCTTTCAGCTGTATAATCTGCCATTCATTGTAGATTAAAGCTTATTTTTCTGTGAATAAAGCTTATTCAATAAAGTACTATTCTTTAAAATGATATTACTTTGTATTTATTTCACTTTCTTAGAAAAAATATAATTGCCCTCTTAAAAATACTAAAATGTGACCTCCTAAATATATCTTATGCCACTGGAACAGGCATAAGGTACATACCAGGTCATGTCATGTTTTTTAAAAAAAAGGACATCAGCTTTCACATTAATTTATGGAATTCTATAAGTGCATGAAAAGTCAATTTTAATGTTTTAAAATATGAATAGTAGGAATATCCCTCTCCCACAAAGATTGGCCTGGTTGTCCCAAGAGATAGTATAGTCACTACAGCAAATCTTGAATCAAGCAAGTAGCAATGAACCTAAAAAGCCACTGTCCCTTTGAGGCAGGCAGCATGTAGAGGCAGCTGCCCAGAGAGTTTCATAAGCTCCAAGCAATCTGGTGGGATAAAGATCAAGGCAATAAAGGATCCTTTGGCAGAGAGAAATTTAGGGGTAGGTATTTCAAGTGGCTACTTCCCTGCCCACAGTGGCAATTTCTAAATGAAGAGTTGTATTTCAGTGAGTATTACTACCATGTGAGC